CTGGGATTACAGGCGTGTGCCACCACACTCGGCCACAACTTACTTTTAAATATATTTTTAGTTATGCTTAAGAAAAATTCACATGAAGAATAGATTCTAATAAAAAATAAGTCTTGATTTCATAATGACATTGAATATTAAAGTTATATCTGTGTGTCAGGGGGAGGGGGGTGCTGAGGATGGAACCTAGGGTCTCACACATGCTCCACAAGCATTCTACCCCTGAGCTACATCTCCAGCCTGAAATTCTTGTGTCATTCTTTAGGGTGAAGAAAAGTTCACTTTTATTGAGGACTGTGTTAACCCTCGCTCTGTCACCTTGTTGGTCAAAGGACCAAATAAGCATACTCTTACACAAATCAAGGATGCCCTAAGAGATGGACTTCGTGCCATCAAAAATGCCATTGAAGATGGTAAGATCTTTTTGTGATGGATATGGACCTCACATATTTTTTAATTAGTAGTAAATCTGTCATGATATATATGGTATTTTAAAAGAAAAGAGTTGTTACTATTTTTTCATTTCACTTTGGAAATTGTTTGGGTTGTAAATATTTTTACAATTTTTACAATATTTTTGTGTTGTTTGGGTTGTAAATATTTTTCCTGCTGGGCACAGTGGTGCATGCCTTTAATCCCAGCAACTCAGGAGGTTGAGGCAGGAGGATCTTGAGTTCAAAGCCAGCCTCAGCAAAAGTGAGGTGCTAAGCCACTCAGTGAGACCCCTGTCTCTAAAAAAAATACAAAATAGGGTTGGGGATGTGGCTCAGTGGTTGAGTGCCCCTGAGTTCAATCCCCAGTATGCAACGTCCCCCCCCCAAAAAAAAACCAGATTTTTCCTTTGAAATATTCTTAATATTCTGCTATCCTCCCTAATTAGTTTATGAAATGAAAAAGTACTTGACTTAATGATATAATGTCACTATTTTTAGAAGTCTAATTGTATTTTATTAATTTTTTTGTAGTTATAGCTGGAAAGTATGCCTTTATTTATTTTTATGTGGTACTGAGAATCAAACCCAGTGCCTCACATGTGCTAGGCAAGTGCTCTGCCACTGACCTACAGCACCAGCCTTAGAAGTTTATTTTTAAAAGCATGAAAATTTTAATAGTTAGAATTCATTCTGTTACTTCAGGTGCAGCATTATTTTATGAAAAATTAGGAAGGAATATTAGCATTTATTATTTATTAATAATTTATAACCAACTTTCTTCTGAAAAGGATTTGGGGTAGATAACTTTATTTAAAGTAGGATGATAGGCACATGAAAAGATTTTCAACATCACCAGTCATTAGGGAGATGAAAATCAAAACCACAAAGAGGTACTCTTTCTCAACCTCTAAGATGGGTATAATAAAAAAGCTGGACAAGATTGTGTTGATAGAATGTAGAGAAACTGGAAACTGAATGCATTGCTAATGGAAAGTGTTGGAAGATATATAGTTCCTCAAAAAACTAAACATGTAGTTACTGTATGACTGAACAAGTCTTAGGGATATATGTAAGAGGGTTGAAAACATGTTCACACAAAAACTTGCACACAAATGTTCATGGCAGCATTATTCAAAATAGCTAAACATGGAAACAATCCAAATGTGCACTGGCTGATAAATGAATAAAAAATGTGGTAATTTCATGATAAGAGTATTATAAAGTACTGATATATATTACAACATGGATGAACCTTGAAAACATTGCTAGGTCAAAGAATCCAGATACAAAAGTCCTCCTATATGCTTTCATTTATGTGAAATGTCCAAGAAAGACAAATGCATATAGACAAAAAAGTGATTAATGATTGCCAAGGACTGGGAAGGGGAGAAGAGTGATTGCTAATGGGCACAGGGATTTTTTTGGGGGGGGAGGGATGCTGAAATGTTCTGAAATTAGTGGTGATGATTGCAGTCTTTTTTTTTTTAATATTTTTTAGTTGTCAATGGACCTTTATTTTATTTATTTATATGTGGTGCTGAGAAACGAACCTAGTACCTCACACATGCTAGGCAAATGCTTTACCATTGAGCCACCACCCCAGCCTGATTGCTATGTCTTGTAAATATTATATA